AACACGTATTAAAGCATTGGTGCGCACTAAACTTAGTACGCGTACTAACGTTTTGACGATGTAAACTAGGCCAGTATTAAATGCAGCCAATTGCTACGTTCTATCTCGAAAGCGTTTCTTATTGCATTTCTAAAGAATCGTGTACAATCTGAACATAGAAATCGACTACTTTAACTTCCGATTTTACTTCTTAATTTAATCGAACAGCTACAAGCGGTGATCGTGAAAAAAATAACGACCACCGTTTATTAATAAATATGTAAAACACTTCATTTCAATTGACTCGTGCGCATGATTTACAAATCACAGCATTAACTACAACGCGTATTTTGAGTTTCTAACCTGTAGAGGAGAGATAGCACAACAACCTAATCGAGAAGTGGTAATAATCATTGCTAATCACTACATGTGCAAAAAGTACCGATTACTACGTGCATAGATACTATCAATTATTACGTAAATCTGCTCATACTCGAGGTCCCTTGCAGAAACGTAATACTGGAAACAAAAAGAAACACTGAAACAATTACTAGAAAATTACTGTACAGTATTGGACAGAATAGTTGCGATTTATTTTCAATAAGTTTAGGAACATGCATTTAGAGATTGAGTTACGTTTCAAAATCTTCTTCTTCGAGGAATATTTTACTCATTAAAAAAACTCATTAAAAGAACAAAAGTGTCGCGACCATTCTGTCGTTAGGTTTGTTTTCCGTTCCTGCACTGGTGAACTAGTGCAATAAATTAGAGTAAGACAAGTATATTCTTTTCTCACTCTAGCTTACTGCACTAGTTCACCAGTGCAGGAACAGAAAACAAACCTCATCATTGCACGTCGGTAATTTCTAATAGCGAATTCGGCATCTTGCACTAGTGCGCACTGAGGCTTGTTTACAGTCAATTGTTATATTTAAGGATCGTCTTAAATACTTTCTCAAATACTTCTTAGCCAGTAAAATGATCTACATAGCATTCGTACGGATCTTTTTTTTGGCTAATAGTTTTAATAGTTGAGATGACCATAAATATAATAATAGACACTCTGAACAAGCCTTCGCGGAAAGAACAATGTAGCTGCTGTAGCTAAAACTTAGCAAAATAGGGACAGCTAATATTTTTAGTTGTGATAGCTCAATATTTTGCTACGACAGCAAACCGTTTGCTGTCGCACCTAATACAATAGGCACAGTAGCAAAATATTGAGCTATCACAACTAAAATATTAGCTGTCCCTATTTTGCCAAGTTTAAGCTACAGCGGCTACATTGTTTTTTCCGTGTTGGTGTGCACTCAGTGCGCCCTAATGCAAGCTGCCGAATTCGCTACAATTCAATTGCTGAGCTTCGAGTAATTATTTCCGTGCTCTTTCGCTTGCAGTGCTACATTTCTGTAAGGGACGTATGAATACTTGTGTAACTTGAACTAATTGACGCGTACAATTACTTTGTACAAAATCTACCAAACAATACTACAGTCGCACGGTGTTTATTTACATGGAATTGTTCGCATTATTAGCGCGATAATATATACAAAATCGTGATACTACGATCGCGCGGAGTTCACCTTGACGGAACTGTCGCACGCTCGCACCACTGACGCTATTATATTCCGCATTCCAGTGGTGCTGCAATCGCACAAGGCCCACGCGACGGAACCACCGCGTGTTCGTACTACTGACGTTACTCACCGTACGCTTGGACGCTGGCCCACCGATATCCCGCGCTCGACGGCAGATTTTTCATCCGGCGTGAACCCCTGGCGAAACGAGGAGTCGCGATGGCACCGAAGACGACGTCGCCAAAATGTCGATATGACTCTCGAGCGATGAATGAGTTTTATATTGTAATCTGTAAAAGAATTTCACCGTGAAATTACAACTGTAATAGTGGGCAATGTTGGGTCTAGGTAGATTTGTCTAGGTAGATTTATGTAAAACCTTGTAAGAGTAAAATTACCTTGTACAATAGGCAAATAGCTACGAAGAAGTCACGCCAGGCGCGCTTCGGGCCCTTCGGAGAGACACGCGGGCGAATCCTTCGCCGCAGGCGGAATCCGCGGAGCGGAGTGTCGCGATTGACGCGATGACACCGTCGATCGCGAGTCAACCGACGCGTTCCGATAACACTGGTCGCTTCGACCGATGGAGAAACGCGCTCGCGGCGCGTCCTCGGCGAACAAAATCCACGATCAACAGCGGAACGATTCCATTTCCGTGCTCCCGAGCCGTTGCACCGCCAAGGCCGCCAAAGACTGCCGTGGCGGCCGGATTTTGACGCGTAAAATCGCGATACCACGGGACACCGCGAGCTCAAATTCGATCGGGATAAGAGTTGAACGCGCCTCTCACGTTTCCCTCCTGGCGATCGGCCGCGTCTCGCTCGACGTTCTCCGCAATCCCGAGCCGTTGCACCGCCAAGACTGCCATGGCGGCCGGATTTTGACGCGTAATATCGCGATACCAGGAGACACCGCGAGCTCACATTCGATCGGGATAAGAGTTGAACGCGCCTCTCACGTTTCCCTCCTGGCGATCGGCCGCGTCTCGCTCGACGTTCTCCGCAATCCCGAGCCGTTGCACCGCCAAGACTGTCACCCAGTGAGAAATGATTCGTCGATCTACGTCGAAACGACGTCGTTTCGACGTCAATTCGCCGGTGTCGATGTCGATTCGACGTCGTTTCGGCGTCGATCGACGAATCATTTCTCACTGGGCATGGCGGCCGGCTTTTGGCGCGCAAAATCCCGGAAATTGAGGCACAAGACGCGAGCTGTTCAAATTCTCTCGATCGGGATAAGAGTTGGACGCGTTTCTCACGTTTCCCTCCTGGCGATCGCGTCTCACTCGACGCTCTCCGCAAGTCCCCGCGATCCCGAGCCGTTGCACCGCCAAGACTGTCATGGCGGCCGGCTTTTGGCGCGCAAAATCGCGGAAATTGAGGCACAAGACGCGAGCTGATCAAATTCTCTCGATCGGGATAAGAATTGGACGCGCTTCTCACGTTTTCCCTCCTGACGGTTGGTCTAGCCCCTAGCGACGTTCTGTGCGAAGATTCGTGCGCGGAAACGCAACAGATCGTCGTCGAAGATTCGCGTCGAGGGAAGCGGGGACGCGTATACCCTCGAACTTCGGTCGGCGCAGCGCGTTTACCCCAACGAAGGCACGCGAATACCTGTCCACGGGAAACTCTGGCGTTTTAATCGCGCGTGTGCGACTCGCGATCACGCGAGGGTCTCGGCGGTGTCGGACTATTAACAAGTGAATATCGATCCTCAATCGCCGAACGACCAAGTCCGCTCTGCCGTTACACTGTTGTACACTTCGTGCAATCGCCGACGGGTGTCTCTAGCTGCACGACGACCTAAAGTTACTAGATATATATCTAGTGACTTTACGACGACCGACGCGAGCGCGCTCGCTCGCGGCTCGCGCCTGCGCACGAGTGGACGTACTCCAACCTCGACGCAAACGTGTTTACTCCCTCGCGGCGGCTTCGGTCTCGGAGCGTCCCAAGAAACGCCGTGTCCCCTCGGTTTGCGACCCAGAGCGAAGAGTCTAGATTACAAATGCGCCACGTTGCTCTTCGAATTGAAAGCACCGTAAACAAAATAGAAAGGGAAGAAAAAAAATGTATCCTCAATTTCTTAGCCGTCGAGTCCGGACGTGAACCACGAGATGCACTGCACGGCGAATTGGGCGAACTCGATTGGTGCGTAAATTAAAAAACAGTATTGAAATGAACATGTTGAAGGGCACAAGTGAGTCTCGCTCGCAGCAGCTGGAGGAGTTGAAGAGCTTCGCCGACGCAGTTAACAAGGATATCGCCAGCGTGGTCGAGACCTTAGGCTGGACGATGGAAAGCGTGACGAACGTGGTAAGCTGTAATCGGGATTTCTTCTTTTTCCTCTTTAGGCCTGGCCTGTTCCTTCTTTGTCCTCTACGCCTGCCCTTGATCCACGGTGAAATTGTCGCTCCACCTTTTCCACGGTCTTCCCATACTTCTTCTTCCCAATGGCGATTTATCTCCCGCTATTCCGACCATTCTCTCCTCATCCACCCGGCTGACGTGCTCTCGTTCCGTTCAGCTTTTCTTCTTAACTTGTTCTTGGCTGTGTTAATTTCAATGGTAACTGGCGTTTGTGCGCAGGAAAAGGAGTACTTGGTGTGCCCGTACGATCCGTCTCACCGGTTAACGGAGTCCTCTCTCAATGACCATCTCGTCGCTTGTCAGTGGAAAACCGAGGGTTACGGAAGGCTGGACGTTCCCTTGTCGGAGCCAACATTGCCGGCGGACTCACCGTTCTGTATAAAATTCGGTAAGGGATCCGTCTAGCACCGGCGCTTTAAGTATTCTCAAAATAGTCCCTGAAATGTCCCTGTGAAATATCTGTTACAGACAAGCAGCTGCAAGAGCGAGTTCTCAGGGAGGCCAAGGAGCAAAATCCAGCGATGCAAATCGGTTAGTAGAAACGTAGCGACTATGTACGTTCTCCCTTGTGCCTGTTAAATGACGATAGAATTTTTTCCAGCGAGTTGCGAATGTTATACTCGGCGCAGAATCAATATATCCTTTTACATATCCTTTATTCAGTATTTCATAGTCTTATATAAATACGCTATAATGTACCCGAAACGGGCACATTATAATATCTGCGATGTGACAAGTGTAATTTTCCTACCTAGTAATGCAGTTAGAAAGAATTGTACAATTGTCACCTTGAAATTGAGAGAAAACTTTTATCACGCTTCAATTTTTGTATAATTATATTTATGACTCTGTTATAACTGTGACAAATTGAATTCTTAACACTGATAATAGGTATGGGTGAGCGGTTAGTACCGCATACATCTGATAGGGTTGTCATAGATTTCACTAGCGACGAGAGGAAAGCGCTGTACGACTACGTCATCGCTAATACCGCAAAGCCTGACATTGGAGAGGATATTGCAAGCATGAATAATCTGTGAGTTCAATGGACTGCGAGATTTATAAGTATATCGACTGATCTCTTTCTAAATACTTAAACGCCTTTGTGGAACAGAATGAGCGCGTTTAAGCACAAGAAGCCAGAAATTACGTAAAAATCGAGATACAACGTTGCGAAGGGGATCAGCCGATATTCAACGTGCACGCCTGCGTTACATACCTTGTGCGTTATTGGTTTTAATTTTTAAATATTGTCAAATCTACGTTTGTAGGGAGCCACAGCAGAAGGAAGATAAAAAATTGTCTTTTCTGGAGTTGTTGATACAAGAGCGCAACTTGAAGAGGCGTAGAGCGAAGCACAGGGGCGTTCATACGAATAAAAAGTCTCACACTGAAATTCTTAGAGAGGTGATCGGTCAACAAATGGAGATGTATGTAGAGTATATCTCCGGAGAAAGTAATTCTGCATGTACGACAGACGTTCGGGATACTAAAGCGGATGATGCAAGTTATTGTGAAAAAATGCAAGATAGAAACGAACATTTATATAAAATATTTCATACTCCTTCCCGAAACTCTGACGGCTATAATTCTGGAGAGAGAAATGGTCATCGCCATAAGAAAAAAGATCAAAGAGGAGACCACTCAGAAGAACGGAGTCATCGTCGATCAAGTGACCGAGACAGGAAACAGGAAAGAAATTCAGATAAGACGGATAGGAAGCGTAAACGCGAACATAGAAAGTCGTCGCATTCGAGTGAGCAGAAGTCGCATAAAAAGGACAAACATCGAAGCAGAGACAAACGCAAAGATAAATACCACGAAAAGAAACATAAATCTCGAGATCGCGATAAATCATCAGAGAGACATTCAAAGCATAGTGATTATAAACGAAAAGACAGAAGTAAAGACTAACTGCAAACTAATTATAAGGAAACAATAGAGACAAACGGAATCTGTTTAAAGTTTCTTGTAAAATTAATAGTCATAATTAATGATAATACAATTCAAGCGTTTTGTAAATTTACTTTGTGAAGTGTTGTATATATATGTATATATTCGTCATTAGCATCAATTAAATTTATTTTTAATCTTGTTTAAAATTTCTGCTTGTTTTGCATATATATATTTTTTTTCATTTCTTACGCAAATAAAAGTGAAGATTTATATACAAGTACATTGGATTCAGGGGTACAGGATAATAATTAGGCTCACTAGGATACGTAGATCTGAGAAAAGCCACTTGATTAAATCTATCCATTGCCTTTGCTAGATCAGCATTTTTATCATCTATTTTGTTTAATATTGAACTATGTGTAATGATTGTCGGCATTTGTGACTTCACTTCTGTTTCATTAATTGTTTTATCCAGTGATTGTGGTTGCAGTGATTTTCCATGATTAGAAAGTTTCTGGAGCTTCTTCAAGTTGAGTTTCTTCTTGTTATGTCTCAATTTCTTAATACCGGCATTGCAGTTATAAGCAATTAGCAATTTTTGTATATCGTAATGTGACAAATGGCTTCTCTGGCCAATCTCCACGGAAGACGACTGTAAAGGCAGAATTTTATTATTGATTTAATCAATGAACTATATATATTTTTCAATACTGAGATTAAATCAAGTATGACAAGTATCGCAAAGTTACATTTAGTCCTCAAAGTATATATATATATATATCTTTGGTATTATACAATATACATATATCCAAAATTGGATATTACCGTAGGTACTATTGTAGGATGCGACCTGTTAGTCGAAAACGCCGTCATAGAATAGTGCATTATGCTGTTGTAGTCATACGGTAATCCATAATCGGTCACAATACTCTTGTTTAATATGTGAAAGTTGAATACATCCTCTGTAAGAATCTCTCGTTAGTTCTCCCTTCGGTTCGGTCATTAGCGCACATGGTCGCATCGATTACCCTTTCTGATGTTTTCCCATATTATAGTAATGTGTTTGTCTCGGTCCGGCCTCATGTGCTCGTGATATACACCCAGGGTGTGCAACATCTCGTGTATCGCGTGTCCGATTACGCGGAAGCACCCGTTCACGTCTAGGTTTAAAGTGGTAGGCTCGTACACGTTGCGTCCTAAATCGGAGAAGCAGCCCTTCCGGTGGCCCGTGACGTTGACCCAATTGTTCGCCGGGAGCTTTGCGTATTCGTGAAGACGCACGAATTTAACGCACGTCTTCGACATTATGATACGCAGCGCATCCTCCAGCACGGCGAACTTCATCGGCTCATTAGCTGGAGCGGATAATAAAGCCTTGAAAATTCTTAAACATATTTAATCTCGAGCGGAATGTGTACGTAAACGTTTCATTATTTTTGCGAGCTTATCTTCGAATGTATACGACTCACTGTTTCGATTTATAATTGCAGAAACGGCTTACCTATGGACGAATGGACGTAGTAATTGACGACACCATTGGGCCACAGTAAAGTCTTATTCAGCGTCGTGGTTTTTCTCGATGTCGGCTGGAATATGTCGCCTTCTCGTTGTACACCTTCTTCTGGATTATCGTACTGCGACCATGAATCAACTGTGAATACATAATATTTTTTAAATATCAAGGAGGTACTTTTAGTCGTTTTCATTTAGATATCTTCGAGACACTTTCTGAGCATTTTTGCACAGGCACGAAAACGGGGGAAACTTTATTTCTTCACTCACGTCTGTATCTAATTTTCGCCCTGGAAGTGATCCGTCTTGTTTTCATCAATTTGAGTGTTATTGGTGGCGGTCTTGTCCAGGAATCGATAAGTTGCGTCGGATACGAATTAATGCTCGTGACAAACCAGCTGCTTGATAAAAGCGCCAATGTCAAAGGAAACAAGCCACGAAGATATTGAGCTCCCTGCATCTTTCTCGGGTGAACTGCGAGCATAGACTGACGTTTAATCACCAGCGTGAACGTACAATTGCATTATAACTAATCCGGCGTATATCACAGTTGATACGTTATAATACTTTTCGCCGGTGGTCCAATAGTGAGTAACTCGATATATCATCGTGAGTAAATTAAATTCAGGGACCGTTGTTAGAAGATGGATTATTAGAATCATAGCAATCGCCAGTGAAATTTTAATCGAATCATATCGTGCAGCTCTTATTGCTACGAATATTTTGTATCCCGTGTTGAGTTAAATTCGAATTTCATATTATGCTCGAAGAAGACGTTCCTTTTGCATTCATGGTGACAATACTTTGCTGAAAATGTTATGAAATCGATGAAAAGTTATTGAGAAATTACCGAATGTATCTCCAAATAAATCATAGATTCCCTGTAAAATTCAATTTTGTAATTGCTTTCTAAAATTTAAAGTAATACTGTGAAAGTGTGAAATATAAGGAAAGTTAAGGTATACTGTTGAAACTAATAAAAAAATTATGAAATATTAGAAATTCTGATAATTACTGAATTTAACTAAGACTTACTTTTTAATGAAAACATTTTTAATGATTTTTTAATTAAATTTTTAACACACGCCTCTTCAGAACTCTGCCGTTTTCGGCCAGAACTATCGATTTTAGAAATGTGTTATAAAAGCACGTTAATTACAAAAAAATGGATATCTCGGAAACTAATGGGGCTACAGCAATGCGGTTCGCACCATTTTGCTCGTTTCTTCGAGGGCTCTTCAGAACTCTGCCGTTTGCGATTAGAACTCGTAATTTTAAAAAATCGATATGTTTTTAACAATTTTTTTCAATAAACAATCGCAGAACTCTTTCTAAAAAGTATCAGGAACTCCGTAACTGTTTAAAAGGATGTCAGAACTTCGTTCGGAACTATTTTATCTCGATATGTCAAAAATTGTGAAGTTGCCCCCCCCTTTTTTCAAAAGTTGTTTTCGCTATCAGAATCGACGGAACTCTTTTCAAAAAGTATCAGGAACTCCTTGTATGTTTCTAGAGACCTCAGAACTCTAAACAGAACTACGATATCGTGACTTGAGGGGGGGGGGGGGCCAACTTCACATACCCGCAACTTGCACTATTATAGCGGTACACTCGGGCAGCACCGTCCCGTATTCCCTAACAGAAAAAAATTCTATAAATAACTACAAAAAATTGACTTGAAATAGAAATTTGTAGAAATTTTTATATCTCCGTTGAAACATTTATTTCTTTGTAAAAATATCTATAAAATAGTATCACAAATTATAATGTTCTCAAATCAAGAAATTATTGCAAGTAGTATTTCATAAAAATGTACAATTTTGTAAAAATTAGTACAAAACTTTACTAGTTTAAAAAATTTGAGAAACAACGAAATCTTAAAGAATTAAAACATCTGCTTACTTGTAGAAAATTACAAAAATTAACAAAAGTATTCCAATTCTAGCATTTTTATGTTGATTTTTATAACACTTTAAATTAGCGTAGAATTTCTTAGATTCTGGCAGTTATATTTAATTTTTTGTAGAATTTTGTAGAATTATTTCCGGCAGGGTTCCACGAGTTTCTAGTGCGCACTCAGTTCTGCCCAATGAAAAACGCTATCAGCCGTGGCTTCGCTGGGTGCATAAAAATAATTTTTTACTTTTATTTCTTTGGAAAAAGTGAAAACCTATTTTCGGTGATGGTAATCGGTGATGCCGTGGCACCAACAGCGCCTCCGGCACGCCTATGGTAGAGCGTTTAAAGTTAAAGTAAAAGAACGTCTTTGTAATATGTAAACACTCGTTAAACACTGTTTCGATTGCGTGACATTTACCTTTCTTGATCTTCACAACGTTATTAGCAGCCTAGCACGAAAAGTTATGTACGGTGCGTCTTGTGCGATGACCAGATTGTTACTGCAATTGTAGTGTCTTCTCTCAGCAGATCCAAGCGTGCCTGTTCGTCTGATATTATCGCAAAGATAGCGCACGCATACGCGTTTTTCATTTTTAATATTCCTGGAAAGTAACTGATAATCAGAATGTGTGAGCAAATTAAGAATATAAAACAGTGTTATAAATGCTTAGAATACGTGAACTATAAGGAAGTGAGTATAAATATGATTAATATATACATATATACACATATGAATATATTGAAAAATTGTGAATCAAGTATAATAATTAAGAAAAAGAGCTTAATCTATGTTGCTAATAAAATGCTTTGTACTATTTTTTTACGTATGTTGTCAGTTTGCGCTCCAGGAGATATTTGCTTTACATAGCAAATTGAAATTTAAGGACGTTGATAATTTTTCAGATAGGTAAATGAGCATTTAATTCTCATAAGTTGAGATCCAGACAGCCAGTGGGAAGATAAATTGCTTTCATATTGCTAACAAAAATGTCAGCAACTTGTTACGCATCTAAGCCCTTATAGAAATGTAAGCGAAATAATTACTATTAAATTACTGCAGATACATCAGTAATTTCTAATAATTCAATTACTGAACTCTAGTAATTGTTCAATACCTTCTTCGTTCCCAGTCGTCACATTTCTGTAAGGGAGACCATTGAGCTATTGTTTGTTAGCAGTTGTCGGAAATAAAACGTTTGCATGATTCAAACATTGCTAGCATTAGGTGCTTGAGTAGATAACAGATGTAACATGTTAACATTTGTGTTAGGAAATTGAAAACATTATATGCTAATTCTTTGTTAATAGTATGCCCATTCGATGTGTTCTCATCTCTTTAATTGTGCACTTAACTGCAATATGTCAAAATTGTGCTAGCTCTACTTAAACCACTTAAACATTGAATTCATTCCCAGCACAGTTCTAGTTCCATACTTGCTTGAGAGTATTTATAGAAAGAAAAATGCAACAGCTGGATCTATCTCTGTGTTGTTTTATTTTCTTTTTACATTTATAGATTCTTGCAGACGGTGTCAATAATAGAAAAGAATTGCATTCTTTTCAAGTGTGCTTGTGATCATGTAGATCAAGTTATTACTCTTCTCAATAACTTGAATAACATCGGTGTGCAATTGACGTTTGACAGTGAGTTTGATATACCTGTACATATAATAATATTCTCTAATACAATTATAACGATATATCGGCAATATTGTTTATTTGTTCTTTGATTTTTATATAAAAAAAATAATGATAAAGTAGTGATAAAAATAATGCACAGAATAATATGCGTATTAACCAAGCCTTGTGGACACAGACCTTTAGATTGTTTAATGAAAAATCTTTTCTTCTCTCTCTTTCCTAGGTGATTCATGCACTGAAAGTGAAGTTATAACTATAATAAATATAATGTCTATTTTATGTGGTGAAAACTATGAGATTACATTTTTCTTGAGAAATGCTCTCATGTAATTATCAACTAAAATTAAGTTATATTCTTAAATTATTTATTTTAATTAATACTTTTTCTTATTTTAACATTGATATTATCGATTTTGTAAATGTTTTTACATTTTTAGCGCTGGTTCTAGGCTGGAATATGTATACTCAAAATATGGACACTTAGTTACAGGTATATTCAAATTTAGAAACTTCATAATTTCATAATAAAAAATTTTGTAGTAACAAATTTTAATCTTTACTCAGATTACGTCTCCAAAATGATTTTGTTTGAAGATTCAGACTTATATGCAGTTATTAGCTACTTAAGGATTACGCCTTGTCTTTTGTTAAATATAAATAAGATTTTCATCCGAGAATCAATAAGACAGAAATTTTTATGGCTCATAGAAAAGTATTTAAAAAATATTGCATGCTCGAAATTGCCCATTTCTATATTTCATACGGAGAAAGAATTATACGAAGAATTCGCAAGAAGAAAGATGGGTCCCGTATGTTCTGAAAAACTACATATGGTGTCTATATGGTCGCAAGATGTTGTATTTGCGAAAGTATTAGCAACGAAGTTACACGTACGTAATACAATCTAAATGAACGTAATACAATTGCGATATTGTCTGGTATTAAAACAAATTTCTATTTTGAGAACAGACCGATATTACATTCATAAATGCATATTTCGAGTTTCCCTCGAATATGATGTTTTTTGACAAATGGATGGGTAGTACTATTGCCGAAAATGACGACATATGGGGATATGTTAAGTTCTGTGATTTATATGAGAACACTTGCCTTGGGAAAACTAAAGACAAAATAAATCTAAACAAATATGCAGGTTCAGTCTACAATCTTTTTTATAATGACACATGGCAAAAGCCTGCGATGGATACATATTGGATACATAATGGCAAAGCATATGCAGACGGAATAAAGTATATGAATACATCTTTTCTGCCCTTCTTAACTCTGTAACAATTTTTAAGTCACCTAACAAAACTCGAGGGATAGAAAAATTGCTTTTTAAAAGTAACTGCACGGAGAGAATTTTCTCTTAAAATTTATCCTAAAAATCATGTACTCGTGGAACAACACGATATTTCGAGGAATTTTATGAGGGTTTTTAAAATTTTACTAGTAAAATGTATGGTAAAATTTCAAAAAACTCTCATACAATGATAGTTTATTGAAACAACCTACATTAGCCAATGTTTTTATTTAAAAAAACTAACGACGTTTCGATCCGGGATTTGGACCCTTTTCAAGTATTCTTTTCACGCAATTTCCATTAATCACATATCGCTCGTTTGGTCAATGTCGCTATGTTAATAAGATATTGGTCAAAAAATGATTGCACTCTTTGGTTGAGTGCAAAGTCAATCTCGTGACACGAGTAAAAATGTCGAATGTGTTTGTCGAGATGTCGGATCGAACTGATTAGTGACAGATATAGTTGTTACATGGATGTAAATTGTGACAGATATAGTTATGGCATGGATGTGAAGTGTGAATGAATATGAACGAATCGTTATTTTTTAAGTCTGAAACTTTTGTAATAGTTTTTTTACTAACAAAGACATTAATAAAATAATTGTTTATTTGAAAGTTGTAGTAAAATCATGAAAAATTTAAGGAGATAAATTTTAAAACGCTTAAAACGTAAATTGAAAATTTTGATTTCTATGAAAAGTATAAGTATAGCTAAAGTTTTTCTATTGTACTCTCAATTTTTCATTCAAATTTTAAACACAATAATTTTTAACTTATCTTATATATAATAACCCATGATAATAGACTATGTATATCGACCAATGCCTGAAGAATAAATGTACGAAAATATAGTTACATTTTATAACTCACATATTAAGTTAATATTTAAATAATTTGTTATAGGCAAGATTTGATGGAATGCGTAAAATCAGCCGAGGCAGCATTCGAAACTTGGAATAGTTTGCCTATTGTTTCTAGAAAAAAAAAATTGGAGAATCTTGCGTCTATATTACAATGCAATGGGTATATATTAATTTATTATAAAATGTTAAAGTTTTTATTTTGTATGTTTTGTATGTTTTGTAGATACTTTTACAATTAGTAATACTTTTAACAAATGCATTTCCTCTTTTATTTCCCTTTTCAGGAAATTTCAATTGGCGAATACAATGTTAGATTGGATAAAATTATCAAATATTGAAAGCCAATTACTATGTCAAGATGGCAGATTAGAGTTAATCGCCTTTAATATGCCAAAAGGCATTGTTCCTATTCTTTATTCAGATGAAGTTAAAGCGTTTTGTCATCTGACATTGGCTTTAATTGTTGGCAATTGTGTCATTGTGATATGTAATAAAAATTCGTGTACTTTGCCATCATATTTCAACATGTTTTCAACAGCCGAGGTACCACCAGGCGTTGTAAATTTGTTTTTAAGTAAAGAATTTTGTCAGCATTTTAAGGAGTGCTGTTATGAACCAAAGGATGCACACAACTATGTGAACACAATTTGTACTTCTAAAAATTATATTATTACTCCCTTTTAAATAATTTTAATAACGTACTGCATGCTTTATAATATTTATCTATATGACATATACAAGTAAATGAACGCATTCATGTATTTATTTGGATGTTATGACTTTGTAATAAATAATTTCATCATTTACGAATGTTTTTTAACTAAAAATATCATATCTTATATAATAATATTCCGACATATCCTTTAATTAAATTAGACTATATTATTAATAATTATACCAAAAATAACGTTTACAAATGTCAATATTATATCCAGTAAGTAAACTATTCGCAATGTGCAAATTGACACAACTTACATATTCGTATTAAACTTGTATTTTACTGATAGAATCTTCTGCTATCTTCTGAAATCTGGTAGGAAATTGGCATTATCAAACGCAGATCCTGTATTGATCCAATATTCGTATTAATTAATATTGATATCTATCACATGTGTCTTCATTTTGTTTCATACAAATCACATATTTGAAGGCGTCAAACCGTCAGACATCCATTCGAAGAATAGAAGAATACTCGAGGTCATGTAATAAACATAGAAATTATATTCTATTTTAATTTATTAATTCTTTCACTTATATATAAACAGCCATTCAAAATAACATTTTATATTCTTTAAGCTAAAAAAAAATATTATTCCTCTATGGTCCGATTGCAAGATTTCGCCATTTAATGTGATTAATGCAACATCGACTGATTTACTGTTTCATATGGTTAAAAAAATTTTACAAAATATTGTCATCAAGTATTGGTCCATGCAATGCTGGACCAATGAAAGACATGAAGCAAAGCAACATAATGAATATGGAAAACAAGAATACCGATTGCTTCGCCCGAGTGAACATCATGCAATGCAATAGAATAGCAAAGCTACTGGATGTCACAGTATTACACTTGTCCTCGATAAAACGTCTGTCTTAAATTTTTTAATAAATGCTTGCGTAATTTATTCTATTTTGCATTAATTTCAAAATATCGTGTCGATATGCCTTGACATGAGCGCATTTACAAAATAAAAGCATATATATATATAATACATATACAACATAACAATAGCCTGTAAACACTAACAATTAATAAATAACAATTAACATCAATATTATAAAATTTCTCTCAACAAATAAATATAATATAATACATGTTGTACACATAATAATTACAAATAAGAAATTTATAATATTAATTAATATTATATTTGTTATTTATTTGTTAGTGTTTACTTGGTACATATCCATAGTTAAAACAGTCAAAGCATATGTTAAAATAATGCATACACAAAATTATATGGTAATAAAAAGAAAACACACGGTCCATAGAGGATTTACGATAGTGATACAATATGTTCCATTTAGTAAAATACATATTAAAAATCATTATAAAAACTTATTTGAAAAATACTTAAATAAAATAATAAAATAAATAAATATAATTAAGGCAATATGAGCCGTCACAGGATCTAAGGTGATCGGACGAAGTGTCGTCAATTTAAAGAAACAAATCGTGTTTACATATTATATATTAAACGTTTCGGTCATCTCAAGATTCGATCAATCATCTTAAATAAAATAAATTCTATAATTCAATTATGACTAAATAAAACAAATTTTATCAGCATACCGTTTAATTCTACTTATAACAAAGTTAAATTTATTAAAAACCGAATAGCGATTTGAGATCGTTGAACGTAAGCTTCGAGGCTGTGTTGCTTTTATCGCCGCTCAGTACATTTTGCGCTATCTCAAGTTTTTTTTCTTGCAACGCTTTAATACGTTCTTCTATTGTATTAGCACAAATAAATCTGAAATGGAAACGCAAAAATGTTAATATAAACTTTTGCACGGGGCTTACGCATGCGGAAATCAACAATGATGTTACTAACTTGTAGATGTAGACATCCTTCTTTTGACCAAAACGATAAATCCTGTCCTGCGCCTGCGACTCTAACTGTGGATTCCAATGAATGTCGAATAACAATAAATGATTGCCGCCTACCAAGTTTAATCCCACACCACCAGCGGTAAGCGAGAGTAACAGGATTCTCGGACCAGAATTACGACTGTTAAAAGAATCCATTATTTCCTACAAGAAAACCCCGTAATTATTTCTTTTTGTAACAGAATAAACTGCAATAAAAGTATATGTAGTATTGATCTACATAATTCATACTTGTCGATTTTTGATGGCGACTTTTCCTGTGAACATGCTAAATGTAGCACCCTTTATTGTGGACAAGCGTGATGCTACAACTTCCAGCAATGTTGCCCACTGGGAAACAATGATGAGTTTATCGTCGCCTTTTTGTAAAATTTCTTTAACCAAATCAAGCACTACCTTCATCTAAATTATATATTATACAATTAATCTCATTAAATGGTGAAATCTTTCAGATTATACAATTATCACTTGCCTTAGAACCAATGCGATCATCATTAAACACCGGATTCTCAGCGGTGAGTAGATTCTCAACTATTCTCTGATCAACACCGACATCTTCCTCCTCCTCCACATTATCGATGTCATGGAGCGACATGTTATTCACACGGGATAAGAAACCAGCATCCACGTTTTCCGTATCCATTATACCACTTTCCTTCACGTCTTCCTGATCCAGCATCGAATGGATTAACGCTGGATGGCAACATACCTGTCGTAGTCGTAGAAGAAGTACCAAAATCTCATGTGTCTTGACATCGGCGTGCGAGGCCAGCAATTTGCTCTGTGCTTTCGTGAACTGATTGTTCTTGTCTTGGAAAAAGAAAACACGCGTTACAACACATACTGCTATATTTTGGCGATTAGGTAATCGCGCAAGACATGGGCCCAATTTCACTAACACTTTAAGTTTAGCTTAATTCGTCCTTTGTCTCTTTTCAACTGTTACTCTAGAAAGAGACAAACATGAATTGAACTAAGATTAACGTTAAGCGACGTTTGGTGAAATCATAGTTGAACTAGTAGGTCCACTCCGTCATTTGTTTCGTTTTGCGTCGATCCCTTCTGCAACATTGTTCTGGACAGACCAATGAGAGAAAAGTTGTATGTTTGACAGTGTGACTTTGATGAGTACATATA